GTCTTAAAGGATTATTGGGAAATAAAGGAAATATAAAAGATATTTATAGATTAAGGAAAGCATTATTTATTTATCTTCAGAATACAAAATTTAAAAATAGAATTTAATAGATGTAAAACAATGTTGCTACACACTCATGAACAGTAGGTGGCGGTATGCCCGCCCCTTCCCTAGAGCACGGTGGGATCGAAAACATTTTGAATGGAAATCAGTGGGGAGAAATTAATAAACTTCTGGTCCCAGTCGCTCTCTGTCACTGATTCCAGATATGCTGGTTGTGTATTTAAATTGTTTTTTGTTTTTTTTAGTTCCTCTTTGGTCAAAATCTGGTCAAAACCCATCAATGAGATCGCACCAAACAGGAAGTTAATTGCACAAAGGATCCGGTAGATTTCCAAATAAAACACATCCGATCTTAACCCATGATCCTTTTTTTAAACTAGTTTAATTAGTTTCTCCCGTATGCCACGACGTAATGCATTGATCTGAAAATCAACCTCAGACGCAACGCACACAGTGGCGAGGGTTTGATCCGTCAGATGGAGTTAAATCACAAAAAATTCAATGTTGAATCGGGGCGGCAGCTAAATGCTAGGAGATGGGTAGCAGCCAAAACGTTGCAATTTCACATAATCCTGACGAGATCCGAAAAACGTAGCAAAAACTAGCAAGCGGGTGATTATGTATGCTCTCTGTCACTGATTCCAGATATGCTTGTTGTGTATTTAAATTGTTTTGTTTTTTTTTAGTTCCTCTTTGGTCAAAATCTGGTCAAAACCCATCAATGAGATCGCACCAAACAGGAAGTGAAATGCACAAAGGATCCGGTAGATTTCCAAATAAAACACATCCGATCTTAACCCATGATCCTTTTTTTAACTAATTTAATTAGTTTCTCCCGTATGCCACGACGTAATGCATTGATCTGAAAATCAACCTGAGACGCAACGCCGCAGTGGCGAGGGTTTGATCCGTCAGATGGAGTTAAATCACAAAGAATTCAATGTTGAATCGGGGCGGCAGCTAAATGCTAGGCGATGTGTAGCAGCCAAAACGTTGCAATTTCACATAATCCTGACGAGATCCGAAAACGTAGCAAAAACTAGCAAGCGGGTGATTATGTATGTTCACTAAGTAAATATTATGTAAATAAACCCTACACTTCTCGCTATAAATGTAATCAAAAACCCATTTAAATGCAGAAACTGATTGAAATTATTGATTTTCCCACTAAAAGTTAGAGAAATCTCAGCCATGTTTATACCAAAATGTTACAGTTTCACATTATCTTGAAAAATCTTTGCAAGAAACGAACAAGCAAGTGAATATGTACATTCCCTGAGTAAATATTCTGGTAACAAACTATACATTTCTCACTAGAAATGTAATCAAAACTCTTTTTAATGCAAAAACAAACTCAAGTTATTAATCTTTCCACAAAAAATGAGCGAATGTCGGCCATCTAAATATATTTTTTTCTTCTCCCAGCTGGAATCTTGAAAGTCACGTGACTATGACGTAAAACAATAGAAAGCGTATAGGTAGAAGAAACGTAACAGTACCACAAAAAAATGGCCATTAATGTACCTCCACTACGTTTTGCAGTGTGGACCAACGTAGTGGGGGTACATTTTCCCATGAGACTGGGTTGCAGGGTCACATGAGACCTGCAACATATTTAAACCCCAGTTCCTCCAATAATTTAAACCTTTGTCTAGCTTTTGTTATAGATCATTTGATTATTAGCAAGGATCCCCATCATTTTAATTTGTTATCTTACTAGTAAAAGAAAAATTCCCCTAAAATCTAAACACCATGGCAACATAAAACAGGCCCATATTATTATCTAATATATCCCTCAGTAAATAAGAAGCTTGGTTTAATTTTGTTTTTAAGCTACATGCAAAGTGTTTGTTTCACACATTCCATAAAAATGTGATCTAACATTCATAACTATGCATGTGGGTTTTCTTTATGAGCTATGAAAACAATTTCTGCTGTCTCTGCAATTGATTTGAGTTTTCTCTTGATGATGAAATATTTTTAATAATGACTAACTCTCATGCCTTCACTGTATGTGATCTTCTTTTTCATTATTTTGCTAAATCATTTTTGCTCCACTTTTCTTCTTGTAAAGTACCATTTCTAAACGGCGAGATGGAGACCGAAAACCACAGAAGATCCTTAAACTAAATAAGTAGATTAGCAACAGTTTTGGACTGGTTCCTAACCTGACCAATCAAACAGTTTGCCTACAGGAACCCTCAGCAATCATTTACTGTTGCTGAAAAGTCAATGTTAACATCTTGTGAACTCTCTAAAGAAATTCATGTCTAATTTCAGTGTATATTAATCCTTTATTGAACAAAAACATCTCTGATCTTTATGTTTAAAACATAATTATTGCTTCGCGTCATTATTTACCTTTAAGCTTTGTGTCATAATAACATTTTAGAAAATTTTCAATTTTATCTACATACATAAAAAATCATTGTAAGCATTAACTGCTGTTCTAAAACTGCTAAAAGGATGCAGAGGATGGCTCATTTGCCTAAAAAGCCAACATCAGCAGCCCCATGGCAGCAGCACCGAGGGCCTCAGATGGAGATGGCTCTGTTATAAAACACTGAAGGGACGAATATGAGGGAGACTGTAGGTGCAGAAGGGACAGACAGAAGGAAGAGCATGAAGAGGAAAGCTGCAATGAGTATCAGCTTTCTGTATAATCATCTTGGACAGGTTCAAACGCAACCATTAGTGATGCTAAAAACATTCATGTTGTTGAAAAAACTGCTTTGAACCACATTTTCTGAGCATCACATCCCAACAAACATGCCACATTGAGGAGTTGATATAATGCTGAATCTAAAACAGCTTCAGAGCTCAAATAAGGAACCCAACAGTGTCACATAATTATGACATGAGCCGAATTCATTTGATTAAACCCATCAGAACAAACTGCTGAGATGCTTTGGGAATTAACCGAACAAATCAAATACTGTAGCTTATTGCTTTATTGAAGAGGTTTACTTCAATAAAGCAAACATTTTCTGATTCATTCACATCTATCACATGGGCAATAGTTCCTGAGGACCAGGGTGGGAGAGCAGTAAGTAGAAGTTTTTAACCATTCCTAAACCACTGCTACCTTGAGGCTGAGTACATTTCTCTGCTGAGTGAGTCGAACACTGCATTCAAATAGATCTCTATTTCCCTTTAAACTATCTACACCCCATAAGGATCCAAGGAGTTTTAGCCAAGGTCCACTGTAGGGATTTAAGGTTGTAGACATTTTGCAAAATTCCTCAGGTAGATAGCCTGTGTAAAGTAGCATTCATATGATGGCAAGATCTATGTTTTTTTTTGTTGTTGTCTGTTTTTTACAGAAAATCATTCACTGAAGTATTCCACTGGTTTCTCTGGGTTGCCTTCATAACGTGACGCCTTATGCCATGAGTTTCCCATGTAAGTGATGCACATGAAACCAGTCATCCATATGACTAAAATCAAAATGTGATTCATTAGTTAAGATTGCTTAGTTCTTGGATCCAATATTGATGGCAATGTGCAAGTTGCTATGGTTTTGGGGATGGCACATGATCAGCATGAACACCCTGAGTCTTTGGTCGTCCATCCCTGAGCTGAATGAACTGTGAATCCTTCTTTCTTTACCATCATTGCCTTCTTCAATCCTTTAATCTAGCTAGCTTAGAACACAGTGGACCAGGCTTTACTGCCCTTCTGAATCTGGGACCTTGTTGCTATGTTGATCCATCATCGGATCACTTTTGACAGATAGACCATTGCAGACAGGGAGCATGCCATTAGGACTGCAGTTTTGGAGGAACTCTAAACTCTAAACCAGCTGTGTTAACCAGGTGTTAAACTTGTGTTAACCAGGTGTTAAAATCAATTAAATCACTCCTCCTGCTTCTGGAAAAAAAAAAATGTTTTCTTCAGTGAATCATCCCAAAAACTAATATGTGCCATGATAAAAGACTAATGAGAATTATTAACCTATATTTATAGAGCTCACAAGGTTTTCATATGTGCAAATTTATGTTCAAGGTCTTTTAATTTAGGATAAAATGGAATAAAGAATTATGGGGGTTTTTTGCAGTTCTGATAGGCATGAAAAATCCAAAGAAAGATAGAAACCCCATACTTTAAAATTGCTGAGAAACCCTGAAGAATAAAAGTAACATAACAGGTTAATTTAGCCAATAAACCTAGACTGCTATAATGAATTATTCAGATAACTTTAATTTGTCCCTTTTTATCTATGGTGCAGTGAACAGGGAAGTGTAATGATGATACCTACATAACACAAACAAAATACACAGAAACACACAGTACAACACACAGTAAAGTAATCAATGCATCTAAAAATATAAAAGTAAAAATATAATTATTTTAATCAAATTGGTGTAGTTATGGCAAACATATGCCATATGTGAGAACAGAAAAAGAATAAACTAATTTCTTAGAAACTTGCAGCTGATTAAGTAATAGGGGTAAGTAAAGGGTAAAAGAGGCTGCAATTCATTTATCAACATAAGGTGTTTCAAGTTTTAGAGTCCTGTGCGTCATTTTCTCAGAATTAGCGTCACTCAGTTGTCTAAAAGTGCGCATGCGCGCTGATGTAGCAGGTGCGCGCTTCATTATTTTACATAGTTGCCGATCAGCAGGTAGGAGCTGATGAGAAATAATGATGCTATGCTGACACAAAAGGGCTTAGTGATTATAGTGATTAGTATTGGGTTTGTGAGGTGATGATGATAAAGTGTGTGTGTTGGTGGGGGGGAAACAAAGGTCTGCATAAACTCCCCCCTTTTCACCCCCGACGCATCTTAAACACACACCCCCTCATGCGGCGGTTTGCCATGTGAAGCATTGATTCCCTCTCTGCACTACAGACACATGACAAAGGCAAAGCAATGAGTGGTCGTGGCTTTGCCATAAATGAAACACTCAGATGAGGCGCATTGAGCGCTTCTTACCATCACTGCCGCTCATCTCTGGCGCTGTCCTCCCAGCATCCTCTCTTTCCTGCTGCCTTCCGCTTCAGTTCTTGCCGCAGATCCAGACAGGTCTCCCTACGCTGGGATCAGCTTAGCTCTACAGAGACAAACATCTCTGTGCTGCCTAAGTCTGAATTCCAGATCACTGTGGTTTTTTTTTATTTTTATGGTTGCTGGAAATCTATAAAGCAGGATCTGTCTTAGCGCTGATCACGGCCTGTACTGGGCGATACGAGTCTTTTCGAGCTGAGAATCGGTGTCTGTGAAATCCGCATAGGATAAACTACAACACACCGCTCACTCACTCACCCTCCCTCCCTCACTGCCTCTCAGGTTTCCTTCCACGCTGAGATCCACGCACACAGCAGGGAGCTAGAGAGAGGTTATAGAGGAGGGATGGGGGCGCATCTTTTGCTTTGTCAGCGCTCAACAAGACAGCATCTATTAACGGGAAGGGAGGCTGGAGATGTGAATAAACATCCATAGAGTCGTTTTGAGTAAACACACTTTATTCACTTAACAAAAACAAACATAAAACATTTTTTGAATAATCCGTGTATCATTCGTTCTTTCTATTTTCAATTGCCAATCAAAAAACAAAAAATAAAAAATTGACTGGTTATTTTGTTATTTGTTTTTTATGGTTAAACCAAAAACGAAAAAAGGATTTGTTTTTCATATATCAATTCTAAGCTCAGATCAAGAATACGAAATGGAAAAACGGACAGCAACGCAGAATTTGTTTTTAATATTTAATCGGTACAGTTTACGTGACCCGGAAATAGCTCTTTGCGCAGCAGTTGGGGTAATGAAGTGGCTACCATGGCGACGCTAGAACCACACACTATGTTGATCGAGAAGCTGTTTGTTGTTGCTAGTTAAAAGTACAGTGCACAGAAAAGTTTCAAGAAAAAAGTTATACCTGGAAAATCCTGCAAATTTTCTCCGTTGTCATGTCCTCCTCAAGAGTCACACGCGTGGATCCTCGAAATAAAACGTAACTGTCCATGGCTGATAGGTCCGACTGCCTTATCTGGTGCAGTTTGATCGAACGTGGTGGGAGTAAGCCAATAGTTTTTTTAGCTAACGCTCCACCAAACTTCCGGGTCATGTAAACTGTACCGATTAAATATTAAAATCAAATTCTGCGTTGCTGTCCGTTTTTCCATTTCGTATTCTTGATCTGAGCTTAGAATTGATATATGAAAAACAATCCGTGTATCATTCGTTCTTTCTATTTTCAATTGTCAATCAAAAAACAAAAAATTGACTGGTTATTTTGTTTTTTATGGTTAAACCAAAAACGAAAAAAGGATTTGTTTTTCATATATCAATTCTAAGCTCAGATCAAGAATACGAAATGGAAAAACGCAGAATTTGATTTTAATATTTAATCGGTACAGTTTACGTGACCCGGAAATAGCTCTTTGCGAGGCAGTGGGGTGATGAAGTGGCTACCATGGCGACGCTAGAACGCTGTTTGTTGTTGCTAGTTAAAAGTACAGTGCACAGAAAAGTTTTAAGAAAAAAGTTATACCTGGAAAATCCTGCTGATTTTCTCCGTTGTCATGTCCTCCTCCTTAAGAGTCACACGCTTGGATCCTCGACCGTAACTGTCCATGGCTGATAGGTCCGACTGCCTTATCTGGTGCAGCTTGATCGAACGTGGTGGGGGTAAGCATAGATATCCATAATAAAGCCTTTATTATGGATATCTATGGGGGTAAGCCAATTGTTTTTTTTAGCTAAAGCTCCACCAAACTTCCGGGTCACGTAAACTGTACCGATTAAATATTAAAATCAAACTCTGCGTTGCTGTCCGTTTTTCCATTTCGTATTCTAGATCTGAGCTTAGAATTGATATATGAAAAACAAATCCTTTTTTCGTTTTTGGTTTAACCATAAAAAACAAAAAACAAAATAACCAGTCAATTTTTTATTTTTTGTTTTTTGATTGACAATTGAAAATAGAAAGAACGAATGATACACGGATTAAAAACAAATCCTTTTTTCGTTTTTGGTTTAACCATAAAAAACAAATAACAAAATAACCAGTCAAATCCGTGTATCATTCGTTCTTTCTATTTTCAATTGCCAATCAAAAAATAAAAAATTGACTGGTTATTTTGTTTTTTGTTTTTTATCGTTAAACCAAAAACGAAAAAAGGATTGGTTTTTCATATTTCAATTCTAAGCTCAGATCAAGAATACGAAATGGAAAAACGGACAGCAACGCAGAATTTGATTTTAATATTTAATCGGTACAGTTTACATGACCCGGAAGTTTGGTGGAGCGTTAGCTAAAAAAACAATTGGCTTACTCCCACCACGTTCGATCAAACTGCACCAGATAAGGCAGTCGGACCTATCAGCCATGGACAGTTACGTTTTATTTCGAGGATCCAAGCGTGTGACTCTTGAGGAGGACATGACAACGGAGAAAATTTGCAGGATTTTCCAGGTATAACTTTTTTCTTGAAACTTTTCTGTGCACTGTACTTTTAACTAGCAACAACAAACAGCTTCTCGATCAACATAGTGTGTGGTTCTAGCGTCGCCATGGTAGCTACTTCATTACCCCAACTGCTGCGCAAAGAGCTATTTCCGGGTCACGTAAACTGTACTGATTAAATATTAAAAACAAATTCTGCGTTGCTGTCCGTTTTTCCATTTCGTATTCTTGATCTGAGCTTAGAATTGATATATGAAAAACAAATCCTTTTTTCGTTTTTGGTTTAACCATAAAAAACAAATAACAAAATAACCAGTCAATTTTTTATTTTTTGTTTTTTGATTGGCAATTGAAAATAGAAAGAACGAATGATACACGGATTCAGTCAATTTTTTATTTTTTGTTTTTTGATTGGCAATTGAAAATAGAAAGAACGAATGATACACGGATTTTGAATCCGTGTATCATTCGTTCTTTCTATTTTCAATTGCCAATCAAAAAATAAAAAATTGACTGGTTATTTTGTTTTTTGTTTTTTAAGGTTAAACCAAAAACGAAAAAAGGATTGGTTTTTCATATTTCAATTCTAAGCTCAGATCAAGAATACGAAATGGAAAAACGGACAGCAACGCAGAATATGATTTTAATATTTAATCGGTACAGTTTATGTGACCCCGAAGTTTGGTGGAGCGTTAGCTAAAAAAACAATTGGCTTACCCCCACCACGTTCGATCAAACTGCACCAGATAAGGCAGTCGGACCTATCAGCCATGGACAGTTACGTTTTATTTCGAGGATCCAAGCGTGTGACTCTTAAGGAGGAGGACATGACAACGGAGAAAATTTGCAGGATTTACCAGGTATAACTTTTTTCTTGAAACTTTTCTGTGCACTGTACTTTTAACTAGCAACAACAAACAGCTTCTCGATCAACATAGTGTGTGGTTCTAGCGTCGCCATGGTAGCCACTTCATTACCCCAACTGCTGCGCAAAGAGCTATTTCCGGGTCACGTAAACTGTACCGATTAAATATTAAAATCAAATTCTGCGTTGCTGTCCGTTTTTCCATTTCGTATTCTTGATCTGAGCTTAGAATTGATATATGAAAAACAAATCCTTTTTTCGTTTTTGGTTTAACCATAAAAAACAAATAACAAAATAACCAGTCAATTTTTTTTTTTTTTTTTTTTGATTGGCAATTGAAAATAGAAAGAACGAATGATACACGGATTTTTTTGCCACCATTTTAGGCGCAACAGTTTTCACTCTGTAGATCACGGTCGTCCATTAGGTCACACAGATTATCCAGAAAGTCTTCCACCAAGGCATAAACCTGCCAGATAAACCAACATGGAAATATAATATCAATTCATACAAAACATATTCATTTTTCTTTAACCTGGCTGTAGAAATGGGGGACACTTTAGAAACATTGAAAAATTGAAACATTCCACAAGATTAAAAATCATCTTTCAAATCTACTATCTGTGTTACTGTAGAGGAGTAAGTTAAGAAAGAGATCAAAAAGCAAAAAGACAAAATAGAAAGGATTCTTGAAAAAATGCCATTTATTTCAGGATTTTTATTCAAATTCTAAAACAGATAAATAGAAATTGTAAATTTTGAGAATTTATTTTCAGCTGTTTTGATAATTTGAAATTGCAGATAGTATTGTTGATAGTATTATTGCAGTATTTCCCCTAAAATGTAAATATTAAATAAGGTTCATAATAAAAGGACGTGTTAAGGCCCGGTTGTGGCTTGCACAATAGTGAGACTTCTGACTTAAAGGAAAAGTCCGGTCATATTCAGAATTCAAACTTCTGAAAGTACTTGAAATATGAAATTATTACATAATGTTCAATAAATGATAGGTGTTTTTCATTAAGAGAAATTTCATTTGAATGTGTTTTACCGGGGACATCCTTGTTTGTAAAAGATCACTACTGCCACCTACTGGTTTGTGACGTCACGGTGCAGGATCGGCTGTTGAGCAAGTCCCAGTGCTGTATCTGATGTTTGTCACAACGCGCTAAAATCCAAGTCATCTTGAAAACATTCTTCTTCGAAATGTTTGGTACTTGTTACATGTTTTTTTCTCTAGCCAAGGTTCGATGGTAAATCCTCCCTCTTCAAGTTGGCAATCCAATGACGAATCAGTCCGTGAAGGATCATGAGTCGGAAAGGTGAAATAACTAATTTTTTTCCACTTTTACCCAATGTAATACAACATCCAACTGCCATGCACGTGGACATTGTCAGTTTAACTATAGCTGTGGTGAATTTCAATGGTGAAGTCCTCTGGAAATCTTAAATAATTGTTATTTATTGCAGATGTGTCTAGAAAATCCCATAGATTTTGCTTGTAAAGCGGGGAGAATGGCGCTAGGCTTACTGCACCGTGACGTCACTGCTGGAAGATGTCAGCAGTGAGGTGTTACTATATTGAGGCATAAATGGCCGGTCCCGGATGATTGCGACGGAAATTATTATTATTATTTTTTTTTTACTGTTTACCTCTATAGATAATGATCCATTGATCATTTATTGCTGATCGGCCTTTTCCTTTAACGCTTGTTTATAACAAAGTCCAACTCCATCCATCTATAAATTTTCTTAGACGATTCTCAATCTGTTATTTAGGTTATTTATGGTTAAAACAGGCTCACTGAGTGGGCATTCAGTGACAGATTTATCAACACGAATTTACAGAGTACTATTGAAAATAATCAAAAATACCTGAAAAATATATACATGACATTTAATTTGACTCAATCCTCACATTTTTGCTGTGGAGCTAAGAGCATCTCAGTTGGATGTGGCTCACAGTCTTGTTTATTCTGACAAGCTTGTTCAACAGCGTTTCTAAGATCCACACTGGATCACTTCCTAGCATAAGGTTATCTTTGCGACAGAATGTGTTCTATTGTTTTTTTTCTTGGAATAACTTGCTCTGACGTAAATAGCCAACAGATGGCAATGAAGAAAAATACACTTTTCCCCACTGGATTCTCAAATCTGTGCAAAATTCTTCTGGATGGATTCCAGAATATTCATCCAAAAATAAGAGACTCTAATGTTATTTATTGCAATCTTACATTTAGACCATACCTACATCCAGATATATGATACCCCTTGCTTCTTTATTTTCTCCTACAGGAATGAAGTCTTTGATGTACTATTTTTTTTTCACAGTTTTCTCCTTGTTCCTGTTAACACTCATGATAAAATGGTTGTTCTATGATCATGCAACTAAGTGTTCTACTTGTCCTCTGAACATATTGTAGCTTTCCATTCAACGCTCAGAGCACAAAGCATTCCTCAAACCTCACATCTCCTGCACTACTTTCTGACGCTCCACAATTCAGTCTTGCCAACAGTGGTGTGCCAGTCTGATTATTGTGGAAAAAGCCACCTTCACTTTATCAAATAACTTTGAAGCCTGAACCTTTTAAAAAACTTAAAGTAGCCACACCTGAAATTGGTAGACGATGTTTAACTAAAAGACAGGAAGCTGTTGGCTCATTATGGAGCCACTGGTTTTGTAGGTGAATGCCAGCTCCTCTCAGACTTGCATATTTTGGGTGATCAATAGCTTTTATGTGAAAGTGGGTAATTTAGAAAAAATAACTAAATACTGTACAAATACTAGAAGACAAACGTTGGTTTTATGCCTAGGGCACTTTGATATGTTGAAGTTAAAGGTATTGAAGTCATTGAAGCTCACCTTTCTAACTACGGTTCTTTGAAAATGGCCAAGGGTCTTAAGAGAAAAAGTGTCTATGAAGGGTATGAGAAGAAGAAAAAGGCCTCAGAAGAGAGAAACAATACCGGAGTGTTTTTGGCAGATTCTTTCACACGATGGCGTACACTGAAAGCCCAGGTCAGGCTTCCCACTGATGCCTCGGTTGCAAAATTTCTACTTGACAGGTAAAGTTTGGCATGCTTTTTGGAGAAATTAATTTCACATGACTGCTAGTAAAAGATTAACTACCTTTATATTGTAACTTTCTGGGAAAGATAAGTTTATTTATTTTGTAATTTGCATCATTAGTAGTTATACGGTGGCCAATGATCATTATAACTTACAAACATGTCCAAATTTCCACTGCAGGACACACACCTACAAGCAGGTCATGATTTTTTAAATTCTTATTTGCGGGGAAACTTTCTATATATAAATATAGGTGAGATGAGATCCCTACGTGCAACCATCTTATCATTGCGTCCCCGCCACCTACTCAAGGAGAAATGGGGTCTTACATAATCATGCACGCTTTTAATGGGCGTTCCCTCTTGAGAGCAGGTACAGGGTTGTGCGTGTGCATATTTTTTTAAAGTGAAAAGGTCTTTTCTAAATTTTTTTAAAATCCTCCACTAGGGATGCACGATATAATCGGCCCCCTATCGGTATCGGCCTGTATCGGCCTTAAAACTGAATATCGGACATCGGCCACCCCACCGATATTTAACCCGATATTTGAAGTCTAAAAAAAAAAAATAAATAAAAAATACTACCTCTTCTTCCTCAAAAACTTCTTTTTTACAGACATAAAAACTTCTAAAGACGAAGGAAAAAATATTGATACATTAAAATATCACAATATCTTCATATGCTGATATATTGCCATTTAAAAACACCATATCAATCTCTTTTACTAATGAAATATTGCTATATGTCATCGTTATGCTACGAAATTCCCCGAAAAGTCACGAAATTGTGCCATATTTTTTATATTTTGATATATTGACGCGATATCGATCTATTTTACTAACAAAATCTCACAAGAATTTGCAAAATATCACAAGAGTTTGTAACAGAACGATGAAATTTCACGGGATTTTGAAAGTAAAATAGATCGATACTGCGTTTTTAAAAATCTATTGAAAATATATTTGAGTATATTATTTTTCAAAGTGTCAGAAATGGATAACAAAACTGCTATTTTCAATGACTACTTATTTTTGTCCAGCTTTAACATTGGTATCGATATCGGTTATCGGCTACATGAGTTTTAAAATATCGGCATATCGGATGTCGGCCAAAATCCCAATATCATGCATCCCTATCCTCCACTATACCTCTAAGATAATAATATTTAATCAGGACTAATCATATAGATTTCTACAAAAGCAATGCAACAATGAGGAATTTAATGAAAAACTAGCACGTATCCTTAAAATGCTGTTAGAACAAGACTGATTATTCTACTGTTTTCAAGTGTTTCCTTTGTGTCATATAAACCCCTTAAAACATCAAACAGGTCTGAATTTACAGTTGATCCATATAATAATGGCAAGTTTTCTAAGATTAATTAGGAGGACCATATCAAAACAAACAATAATCAAAGTCTGTAGAATTTCTACCAAATACACGACAACACTGCTGTTTAGGGTCGATCATTTCTAATAAGGACAGACGTAACAGACTGAACATGGGATCATTTCTCATGTCGTCATTGCTTCGACATTTAATTTTGTTATTTCTTTTAAGAGGCTTAGTGTTACAGCAGTGATGAGGCATGTAAAATAATGCTCCGCTACTTATTTTTTAGTCTGCCACAAACTCCAAAGGTTTGTCCTGTCTCTCTCATTACAGTGCCCTTGCAGTGCGCACAGCTAGTTTGAGGATGCAGAGAGAGAGAGATGGAGGGGAGTGAGACAGTGAAGGATTCTTCTCAACTTTTGAAGAAACCTGAAGTGCAGATCAACTCCAAAAAGTACTGAGACAAATGGTTTAAAAATCACAGAAATAAGAGCAAATTCTGTATGTGCATTTACAGTACATATTAACTTTGACAGCACTTGTTGCAAGGTTTTTTTTTTCAATAATCAGGTAAACAAACTGTTTTCCATTCATCAGCTTATCCATATATCTCTTCTTTCTCTTACATCCAACCCCTGGTGTCATTGCTAAACATGTGTGAGGTATAACTGAGAACCTCAACAGGTGAGGGAGGGCGGCACCATGGGAGCTACCGGAGGAAGGTCCACCTTTTTCAGAACATTATTTCATTTTTGTATCGCTTATGTGTAATAACGAGTCTTCCACATTTTTATTTCACATATGTTCCTACCATGATAACTATAATTCTAAAAAAAATTCACCAGCATGATTTTTTGGTGCCCTACTCACAGTGCGAGGTGCATGTGTTTGGTGCGCCAGCACTCTGACTGACTGATTACCTTATAAGCTCAACAAGAACCTAGAAATCTTTTTTTATTTCTAAATTTCTCAAATATAATACTATGAAAAAGATGGTTCTAAGCTTGAGTAGAACAATTTGTAAAACAAGCGGCAAAACAATTCTTGAAAAATGTAAATAACTTGCCTTCTTATGCAGGATTGTTTTGTAGGTAAGGATTGTCTCTGAATCAACACTCTGGATTTGCATGGTTCTCTTTGAACTGATATCAGCCACAGAATCTGGGTGCTTTCCTTGCTCTTTTCTCTCCTCCTGTGGAAAATTATGCAGTTGTAGTTAAACAGTCTCAGTTTACTAAGTAAACAGTGCCTAGCTGTGCGAGCATCTGTCAAAGATGGCTTGGAATGGTACAGGTGCAAATATTTCACACTTTGACATATTGTCTGAAAACAGGTGCATCTTTTTCACACAATGTTCTGTTTCCATGGCAACCTACCTTACCTAATGACTCAACCTTCACATAAAGAGGGAAAGAAAATTAGTCAGCAGAGTATTAAGAGATAAAGTTGTGTTGCAGTTCTTGTAAATGTCAACGATGGTGGACAATAAGTAGAGACCCATTAGAGGAGAAATTATAAAGTTTATAAGTTCTATTTCTATAGGACTTTTAACAGACACTCAGTCACAAAGTTTTTTTACTGCAATCAAAAAATGCAATATAAAATGCTAAAATAGAAATGGGCAACATTGGGTCATAGGATGGGACTTCTTGTCTAAACCAAAAGGTTTTAATGATCTATTTGAGCACATCTATGTATTAAGTGTAAACAGCACAGCTTAAGAGAAAGTTCATGTCAAAGTCAATGAGCAGTAGCTTTAAAGAATGCCCACACCCACTTTTAAAGCAGGTCTATTTAAGCATAAAAGCTTTTGTCGGACTACCTAAGACTTGCTGTAGGACTTAATTATTTCACAAATGTAGGTTCATTAGCTAGTTTGCTAACAATGTAGTTTAGGACTAAGGTTGAATTGGGGTAGGGTGAAGTATGCACTGGTTATTGTCAGGGTGAGGGCATAGAAAGGGCTGAAAATGATCACTGGGAATTAATACATGGTCCTCACTACATATAGCAAGACAAGAATATGTGTGTTCTTGTATTTGATACATTGTGAAATAGGTGATACATGTGAAGTTGAACAAAATGAAACCAGGTAAAAATATAACTTTTCAACTTGAGGAGTTCTGAATAGAGCGTATTGACAGACAAAATCTTTTTTTATCTTAAATGCCAAATGTTTATATATTTTTTATGACAATTTTTAAATAGTTACTGCTCTAAGTGGGTTGCTCTGTAAGCTAAATGCATGTTTTATAGTCTCTATATACCAGTTAACGATTAATCGATTACTAAATTAGTTGACGAGTACTTAAATCAAACAAGCAGATCTCAGAAGTTTATTAGAGGATGTGAACACAGATCATCATGGAGATCAATGAACAAATGAACAAGACATTGTGATGTTTAAACCAGGCTTAGGTTATAAAAAATACCCACAATTAAAAAAAATGTATAGGTAACTGTTCAGTCCATCCTGTGAAAGCGGTATTAGTGTTGTACTGCTGCAAATGAACCAAGATAAGTGATATTTAATCACAGAATAACCAAGAGGTCTACAGTAACTGTGGATGAGGTGCAGAGAGCCAGATCTCAGGTATGAAAAGGGGTAACTATGAGTTTTCTAATACACTCATATGGCCTTTGAGGAAGAGTGGTAAGAAGAAAACCGCACAGACACACCGATTTTAAAATGAAGCACTCATTGAATGGATTACCTAATGTGTGCAAAAAGGTGCCCAGGTCAGATGTAACCAAAATAGAAATCTTTGAAATTCTCTCAAAATTGTGTAGATGTTTTTCTTCACCAGGGAAATAAGATATTGTCCTATTAGAAGATGGGTGGTGCTGCAAATAAAGGGCTGTTTTAAAAGAAACACTATTATTGGCTGCTGAAGACAAGCAGCAATATATTGATGCTTTCAATCAAAGCTCTCTGCATGTGATACTGACGGGATGAGGGTAACCCTCTTGCCATATATCGACGCACAGGGTAAATGACAGCTTGGGACATTGACACCTACATGAACTGAAACAATATTGTTTTTCAGATTTCAGCCTACAAAGTTGTGTTGGTAGCTTTATGAGTGCATGGTAACATGTATACCAAAGTTTCTTTAGGTTTAGGGGATGGGGTTAGAGTAGGGATGGGTTAGTTTTAGCATTATATTTTGCAATTTAAAGAAACTTTGGCAAGTTCCTGCCACAGCCTGCCATGAAATGACAAGATGGGTAACCTTGTCGCTTCAAATGCTGACGCCACATGGGCTTGACCAAGCATCAATATTTTATGAGTTGGGAGTGGGAATGTGCTGAATTGCAGACTTGCATGTAAAAGTAGCCTGGCCAAAATCGAGACCTTAATTTAATAAAATTTTTTAAACAGACATTTAAATCAGTCACTCAACAATATTTCTATAGCGCATTTAAAAACCGAAGGGGGTAATCAAAGTGATGTACATGAAAACAAGAACAAAAACATAAAAACAACCGCAGGGGACTGATACTGAGGTACGGTATTAACATAAGGGTTAATATTCCTTTAATGTGCAAAGCATGCAGAGACCTCCCCTAAAAAGACTATCAGTCGGAGCTAGTATAAAATATGGTCTACAAAGTATTGACTAAGGGGGATAAATCTGCATCTGTATATGGCAGTTTTCTGAATTTTAATTGGAAAATAACAGTTAAAAACTGAGCATCTTGTCCTTCGGTTCAGAAATATACTCTACATGGTACTGAAACAACACATACAATCTAAATAGAATATATCAAAGTTCATGGCTGTACAGTAATTTGGAAAATGGTTCTAAGTAATCACTTCTTATGCTGCTTAAGTTTTTCTATGAAAGACCGAACAGCCATGGTGTTGCTAAGCTACTGCTATAAGCTTGGAAAAGAACTAAACTTAACAAAAGGTACATAAGACAAAAATATACAGACTAGTAAAGTAGATAATGAGCATCGCTTCATGCATTCTGTACATTCTAACACAGAAAAACTGTTCAAAGGAGATTAATATGGCAGATGAGTGAATTTCTGAGAATGAGTGCATAATTATGTGGGGGCAGCAGACAGTAGTAACAAAAGTTGATAACTTGACAGCCTGCTTATTGTGAGGAGATTAAATCATTTTTGGACCAGTTGGATAGTGACAATTCTTTTTAGTGTTTTTTGTCCTTCATAATGTTTTATTCATGCTTTGAAACCAAAGTGCTTCTGACTCTGCAGCTAAACAACTTCAAATTATTAATTTCTCAGTTTATGGCAGGTGGTGAGCTTTTACAGACACACAAAGATTGCCCTATTTTCGGTGCCCTACTAACATCAAGCACACCTACCTCCAATAACCTGCCAGCTGTTGGTGACCAGCCCTTTGATTTGCGGGTGTCTTTGGACTTTGAGCCACTCTTGTCCTCTTTGGCAGTGGGTTCCAGCTTGTCGTGAATCTTGTCGTCTGTGGGTGACTGAGTAGCCATGTCTAAGAAGTAATATAGAAAACAAGAGATCTAAACAGTGAAATATTTCCTTTTATGTAGAATTCAAAACAAAAGGTACAGAGAAAATCATGAATTAAATAGGACATTTGAAAAAGGATAGTTTTCTTTATTGATATCTTTGTCCACTTTTAATACCATCATCCACTGACCACATACAGAAGGAATGAGATTTACTAAAATCTGGCACAATGGAGCCCTGTCTGTATTTTTCAAGGCTAATGATTTGATTCTACTTTATATGTCTTCAGATAGATATTAAATACAATGTGTAAAAATTCACACAAATAAGATTAGATTAAAACTTCTCCATGTACAATTAGGAATATAATTATAACCAATTTCCCCAGATGTTTTTCTCCATTCTAGTAAGGTATCATAGGCAAACAGGCAAAAGTGCTAAATGTTGTGTAAAATTGGTTATTATATATATATATATATATATATATATATATATATATATATATATATATATATATATATATATATATATATATATATATATATATATATATATATATATATATATATATAAAGAAAATTTATGTCAGAACTATAAATATACAGTCATATGGTTATATTACTTTTTTGTGTATTTATTACTGTTTTCAAGGCTGCAATGAAAAAAATGAAATTGTCTAAAGCTGTTTTAAACAAAATTTCTTTTTGTATACACTCGTGTATACAAAAGGACGAAATAAATCTGTCTAAGTCTAATAGGGCTGCTCCATAACAGCAAACCATATGTTCATGATTCCTGTTGAGTACAGTGAAGACAGATATCAATATCTTTACTTACTTCTAGGTTGTTAAAACATACATTAACTACAGTAATATCCTATGATGTACTATATAGCATCCAAGCAGTCCATTACTATTGTGATATTGAAGACCCTGAAATTGGAAAAGCTGTTATATTTTAAAATATGCTACTGCTCTATTAGACAGCACCGAAGCCACGTCTAAGATTGTTTATTGTCCGCTTCAGCTGGAGCTTTTGAGCATCCATCTCCAAGCTGCAGTTAAAATACGTCATATACACTCTGCTTTGTTTTTAAAAAATATAAATATAAAAAATATAACCACAGATGTTTGGGGGACAATAATTTGCCTACATGTTATGAATGCTGGCGTACCATAAAGAATAAATTATGAACAGTTTAGTTTGTGCCTTCAACTCGTTGCCCAAAGGAAGACGTTACTTGGATATAACAATAACAGCTCCAAATGACACAAAACTAATATGTGTGAGTAGAACATAATGTAATAGCGTAAAATCAAGGGCCAAATGTAAATAAACCGGTGTTCCCCTTTAAGGGGCTCACATTATACCGCACTGATAAAAACAGCAAATTCAGCAGTAAGACTAGAGGAAGGGGTCAGCTTCTGCTCTCCAGACATAGAGTTTCTGACTGTTAACTGCAGACTGTTCTATCTGCCCAGAGAGTTCACTGTGGTTAGCATCACTGCTGTATATGTCCCCCCAAGCACTAATACAACAGAGGCCATGAAGATTCTATCCAAGGCTCTGAGCTGATCTCTGAGTTTCAATCTGCACACACAGAGCGTTTTCATCAATGCTGGGGATTTTTAACCAGGTGAACTTGAAGACTGTTCTTCCTCAATTTTACCAACATGTTGACTTTGGGGGCAGAAAAACTCTGGATTTAGCCTACTCTAACTTTAAAGATGCATTCAGAGCTGCTCCCCATCCCTACCTCGAGTCATCAGTTTAACTATCTGTCATGCTACTTCCTGCACACAGGTTCCAGCTAATCAGGGCAAAACCAACAGTGAAGGAGGTCAGAGTGTGGACTGAGGGGGCCATGGAGAACTCCAGGACTGTTTTGAATGCTGTGACTGGAACATGTTCAAAGCTGTGGCTATTAAACTATTAATTTGTACTTGCTTTTGTTAAATTTGCTTTTTATGAGTTTGAACACATACAGTATTTGTAAATGACACACAGTCTCATAGGACTAATCTCTATAAAGGATTCATAAATTCATAAAAACATTTGAAAGCTATCCAGCTTTAATTGTATGAAATATAAGAAATGCGATCCTGCTTGGCTGCTGGAAACATCTGCTAATTTGCCATAACCATTCACACCTCTCCAGACAGACAAAGGAATGGATTATATCCAAAGGACCAAAGCTGATTTCTGAAGGTGTGTTTTTGGCATTGCTCATCCTGTTATACTCATGGAGTTGATGAAGGTTTTAGTTTGTTTTTCTGATAGGTTTTCAGCTGTTTCAGCTGTTCATTCTGTTTGACCTCAGTTATTTTATTTTCCAACCAATATTTCTAAAAATATTATGTTTTCTACTTTTATCTTCAATAGTACATTATACATCTAAAGTAAATTACATCATTTAAGAAACACCTGCATCAATATCAGATTACAGTTTTCACTTATTACATGACTATGGGGTAATTACAACAAAAACAAATAATACTGTTTTGTAATACTTAATGTATTTTCCATAGAGTTTAGTCTCAAAATATTCTAAAATTAAGATTTCATGCTTCCTACCATCCCAAGTTTCTTTCTCTGGAAGGCCCATCCCATCTTTCAGCCTCATGGCTTCATCAGCCATTGAGTCCAGAAGTTTCGTCCACAGTGGCCGCCTGCAGAGGGCACCAAACACCACCACAATGAGGAGTAAAACACACGGCTGAGATAATAATATAGAAAGATTTAAAATGCAAGTTTATAAACTCCAAAACAGTAAATACTTTACACTGTAATGGCAGTTGTGAGAAGATGGTGGTTTACATCAAGTGGTTCAGAAAGTTGCGGATGCAAAGAGTCTTCTTTGATAGGCTCTCCATCAGGCAGAGACAACACAGCCTTGAAAATTGCAACAAGACAGAAGGATAAACCAGAATATTATGAAAAAAAAAGATTATGTAAGATATAAACCTAACGGTAAATGTTTTAAATCAATTCACTTTCATTCCAAATATCTATAAAAAGTAACTTTCAGAGAAATGTGTGATATGTCCTAATTATATGGTAAAGCAGAAAAGAAGTAACTGATTGAGCTGAATGTTTGGTTGCATTTTATAGGGCTTTTAAAGCCTCAAGGTGAATGTGATGTTTTTACTCACGTGGAGAAAATTCAGTTCAAGGCCATTTTCCCTCTTAATCAATGGTAAATAATGAGTTGCCCCAGAATTATAACAAAGTTGAATGATGAAGTGCTAAAATGACTAGGAGCTGTAACAAAGGCTTGCTTTGGGGAGAACAGATGTTATTGGCAAACCACTCACAGGCCTACAGCAAGTGAAGCACACAATGAATGGATCCATTACTTGGCCATCTCTCACTGACTCACGTGCTGTGACTAAAATCGATCCTCTCAAAGAAAAAACATATGACACGTAAAAGCTATACTAAAATGGTTTAGAAAATGACCAATGTGCTCCAAATAACATGTGACATGATAACCAGGATTAGAGAGAATAAGCAGCTCCGTCATCACAACATTAAAACTACCACAAAAAAGGAGACACACTGGCAACCTTTAATCATGCCTGTGGTTTGGTATAATACAGCATTCATAGGTTGTGATGATAACCTGTGACATGTATTCTGTGGTATTTAAGCTCAACCACAAGACTATATTTTATCCCTTTTCAGTTCATTCTGTCAATCTTCAGAGTAATCAAAACCAAATTTGTTGTCTATTGTTAACAACAGCTGTGATCTGTAATTGGATCTTGAAAAACTGGTTAAAAAAACAAAACAAAACAAAAATCAGTGTTTTAACCATCTGGCCAGTACTATGAAACTACTAAGGAAGGAAATTAATTGGGGCATTCAGAAATGTCCCAGAAACAACCAAGGCGTAAACCTGCAAAGATCAGGAGGCTTAGTCACTGTGCACAGTGTAGTTGGTTTAACTCTGGCTTAGACAAAGAGCGACTTCTTCAAGTTTAACTGAATCTGGCAACTGCCCATATGAACAAACCAAATGACAAAGACAGAGGACAACAAGACCAGACTGTTGACCTTAAAAAGACATAATGTAACTGTTTGCTGAAAAACATTGTATAATGAGCAGACTGACACCTCAGTAGTTCAGAGCCAATGCATCTATAAGTTTGTAGTCTATTTTCCATAATTTACTGTTTGGCAGATGTGAAGTCAAGCGTGTACAAGTTAAACGTGTCCGACCTAGCGAACAATAAAAGCATTGCATTTAAATGTGATTTTGTGGATAATCAAAAGCGACCAACATCCAGTTCAACTCAGAAACCACCAGAAACTCCATGTACAGGTAAAAAAGTTTAATAAATAACCTTGTTAAATATGAGCGCAAGCTACAAGAACGAGCAGAAAAGAGCTACAGTTCTGGGTTTAGGCCACAGGTGGAACAATCATTAGAAAAGACTGTATTACGTGTAAGGTTTGAGGAGGTCTGAGTCTTAAAAATTTCAGAGCACAGTACCATCTGTCATGCATGGAGTTGAAAACATCATGCTGAGGTAGTACTGTTTTTATTCAGTAGGGTGGATCAAAAGGAGTATGAAGTAAATACATTTTCTCTAACTGTACATAACATCAACAGTAAAAGTGATCAGGCTTAGAGGCACTACGATGCCAAATCTATCCTAACTGTTTTTGGAAAAGGTAAAGCACACTGACATCCATTGTCTGAGAAGATCTAGACCACCAACACTACTGAAAATGTACATGGTAAGTTTAAAAGAAAAGTCAGCATCAGCAAGATAGCCACTTTAAAATTGAGTCAAATAAAAAACACAACTGTAACAATATGAGGTCAGCAGCTTATTTACGACAACTAAATGTGTTTTTCTGCAACTTTTTAACAGACATCTAATAGGATGTAAGGTTGTTTGTAGGCCTTTAACATTTCAAATAATGGAAAAATATTACAATGTATTACATTTTTTCCACCGAATCCATGTTTTACAAATTTACTAACTTTTTTTTAACATTAAAAGCATTGAATTTGTCTGACCTTTATGCCCATGATGAGTGAATGTAGATTTATCATAGAGACTGTAAGCTGTCTAAAACTTCACAAAGTGTGACTCACAGCATGTTAAGTCTTTCTGGGTATTGAAATGTGCTTGATACAAACAAATTATTTGTTATATATTTATATTTCGTTTTGTTTGATACAAACAAATTAGATTTATCCTATTTTAATAGCAGGAGATCTGGGGCATTTTCACACTTTCCACCCTTTATGGATAATTTAAAACTACTTTTGTTGAAGTAAAATACATGTAATAATAGTCTGAAACAACAACCTGGGCACATATTTGAGACAGTATAGCTATATACAGTAATATTTTCTTCATTTTTGTAACTAATCAGTTGTATCAATCATGGACATGTTAGAAGATAATACAATTCAAAATAAGAGTTAGTCATGAAACAATGTTGTTCTGAATTTTGTAAAAGATCTTTTTGAAACTGCAAAGTTGTTATTTGTAAGTTACTGTCATTTTAGATTAGTAATAAGAAATTAAACATGATAATACAGATGTATACAATTAGGTAAATGACCTTGGGGTTTTTGTTGTTGAACAGCTGTTGTTCAGTGATGTAAAGCTCTGCAGGTGAGCTGGGCCTTTTAGGGGTTTGGACTCCCTCGACTATATCTTGTACAATCGATCGGAGCTGTTTTTCCACAACAGCATTTTCCAGCTTCTTCTGTTTAACACACAGAGACACACAAAAATGATCACACCAACCAAAGCAAGCTTTTCTATGAATGGAATTTGCTTTGTTTCATTTTGGACAGTGTGCTGGTTAAGCTATAGTCTATAAAGCATCCCAGCACTGTATACCTCTATAAAGCATCTCAGATCTGCAGTTTCTTCCACGTGGATGGCCGTTCCACTCAACCGAACCTGAATTGAGGCTCCTTGCAACAACAACGGATGGGTGTTGAGTTGCCAAAGTTCAGTCCAGTAACCTGGCTCCTCTGACTTAAATATAAACTCAACCCTCTGGGTTTCACTGGGAAGGATCACACCTGAGTTGTATTGGGAAAAAAAGCAAAAGGCTGAATGCTGGGGGAGCGATAAGCAGGGTTGACACATAGACAAATACGTGACGCATAAACAGCAGAAGAGTGTGTTTTATCAGGTTTGGGAATCTGTACCAGAGGAGGGGTTGAAGTAAAAGGGGACATTGTTGTTTTGTGAAAGCAGGTGAGAAAAGCTTGATGGACGCTTTGGAAGCTTTTGCCAGCTGTAAAAAATGACTGTACTTCCTTCATTTTGCAGCTCCAGGTTGGTTGAGACAACTTGTCCAGTCTGGCTTTCAAAAACCACACAGGTGCTGATTCCGACTTCTCCCTAACCAATCAGGTATAAGAAAACCAAAGACATAAGTAGTTCATCACAATAAAGCACTTAATGAATGTAACTGTGTGTGTTTGTTGAATTTGACACAATAATTCAACTCCAAAACATTTCCAAATAAAAAAATGATGAGGCTCACATGATATTAGGACAGATGATCATGTTTTGATTCATTTTATTTTTGTCTCTTATTTTATGTTTCTATTGTAATGCTTTGCAGGACACTTTGCAAACAAGTACACAGTAATAACAACTCACATAGCAACATCACAATTATAATAATAGGTACAGTGTGAAGTGCAATTTTCTGTTTTGTTCCTTATTATGGCCGGATGCAGGGTACAGGAAACATCCATGTCCCCTTAACCTAATCAAGCCGTACCAACTATGAACAAGTACAAGGAGAAGGCTCCGCTTAACCTGAACGGTTGCTTATCGAAGTTTTCTTTCATGTTGTTTAAACAAGCATGACCTAGGAGAGCATGCCTTACATGTGGATGTCTTTTTTTTTTTTATACTGTGGCTGGTGAGGCACTTTAGAATGTATTATTATATCCATTAGTCAAGTTAAAAGTGTTTTTCCCTTTGCTGTAGAGTTTATTCTACCTTTTTAATTTTGGTTCTTTTTCTGTTATTTATTATGGTGTTTACCTTTATGCTTTCATCTTACTACATGCTTTGCAACTGACACACTAGAATTTCCACTGTGGGACAGTAGAGATGCAACACAAACTCGAATAGAATAGAATAAGATAGAATTCACTTTCATAAAAATTCTCAGTACCTCGTGGAATGTTTGATTTCCAGTCCATCTTGCAAGCTGATCACGAATCCTCAAGGCGGGACCAGGCAAAGCCTTAAAGGGAACATCATCTGTTTCTGCTAGTGTTTCCCTGTTAACAATGGAGCAGCAACATCAGAACATATCAGCACCTTTTCATTGGACATTTTTATCAGTTGAGCAGAGATGCTTCAGTTTTGGGCATACCATATAAAGTGTGCCACTGACAAAAACAATCCTCAATTGTTTTTATATAAACAAACAATCATATATTTTTCTCAAGGCTCAGTCAGCTGCAGCGGCTGCTGGAGGTTTGTTCATCTAAAAAGGAGGTGCAAAGTTTTACTGTCGCCACATTCTAATTCAGAGAAATTATTACTGCAAAGCACAGAGCTGGCTTTCCGTAAATGGCTTCCTTTTTACCAACTCATATTATACACTGGATTTAACTGCATGAAACCTTACCTAGAATGGGAATGCTATCCATGTAACTGAAATTTTGTGGAGTACACTGACTTGATATTTTCCTTATAACAATTTCCCTGGATCACCCTGTAAATTAGGTTATATGTGTTAAAAATAATTAAATTGAGCAAACTGGATTAACCAGTTAAAGGAAAAGATTATCATAGTTTATCCATTCAAGTCAACCAATGCTGAGATTTAGACACTATGCAGCTGTGAATCTGACTTTTTCTTAGAAGCTTCATCATTTCTATCTTAATCATGAGATATGACTCAAAGCCATGAAGCTGATAGCAAATTGAAAACATTTAGGTTACAAATAACAGTTTATAAGTTTAATTGTATACTATTTGTATACTATACATGTTCAAATTTAACAATAAAAGAAGAGGTTGCATGTGAGAGGTTAACTTTGCTCTGCCTTCCTAAACTGGGTTCAAATCACGTTTGCATCAGAAAAGGCAATAAAACTTTGCCAGGTCAGTGAGCAAGACTTCCTTTAGAGATCCTTGGATATTGGAACAGCAAAAAGGACATAGAAAACAGCATTTTAAATGAGAATAACAGAGAAGTTTTTAATCTTACAATTGTTCCTTAGTCATCTCATTTTCTTTCTTCTTCTCTTCCTCCTTCTGCAGTAGTAGACTTTGAGGCTCTGACAAAGAGCTTAAAGGGATTCTGGTACCAATCACCTCTAGTTCGCTGAAATCCTGCCAACATCATCACACAAAGTTGCCATTTTAAGTTCAGAATCAAAGACTAACAAGGATCATGTTCAGCCATAGCATTATGTGCACTCATATAAAAATGTGTGTCTCTGATAAGTTGCACCATTTCTAAAGAAAATCAGGGAAATGCCTCGTATTAGAATATCACTAATACATTTTATGTTCTGTACAATGTGGTATAATTTGTGCCTACCTTCCACTGTTGGCTTTGTATCCTTAAATATAATATATAATTGTATCTAAGGGCTCTGGGTACTGGGTATACAGGTATGGAACAATAAATTACAATATTATGAAAAGTCCATTTACTTCAGTAATTTAGTGGGTGAAACTCTTCTAGTACAAACATAAACATATTTATATTTAGATTTAATTCTGTCTACTTTGGTTGTCATCGCCGATAGTTGAGGAAAACCCAAATTTGTTTTCTTTGATCATTTGAAAATTAAAGAAAACTAAGGAAAATATTTACAAATTTTGTAATGTGTTCAGCACACATGACTGGGGATGGCTGTTGTTCAATAGATAATCACTGAAAATATACAGAACTTTACCTTAGAGGTAAATAGCATATGCTGTAGAGCTGAAAAAATATCAAATCCCAACCTAGATGGCAATTTAATTATGCATAAAAAAAAAATCAATGAATGTTTAGGTAGCCAAAAAGATAAAAGATCCCTAAACCCACCTTTAGTAGGACTGCTTAGAACATAGTAAATTCGGCCAGTTTGCTTACATTTCATTCCAATCTTCACTCCCTCCTTTACTAGCCCCAACATCTCAGTTATTTTGTTCCTACTTGAAAGTATCCTTTGACAACAGCCGCTACCATCCCTTTCTGACTAACCAAGTATGTAACAAAGCTAGGCAGCGATGGACAGGACAATCTGTCTCTGTGTGTCAGGAGGCACTGAGCTTCCCACATATTTAATATCACATCAGCCTCCTGTGTAACAGAACACACCACACCCCCTTTTTGCCTCATTTGATTGGCGCAGCTGTGTGTGCGAGTGTGTGAACGAAAAGCAAGAATAGAAGGAGAAGAGATGCCATCTGAGATTGTAATAAATGAAGTTAATTTGAATAAACATCACAATCATCAACGTGTGCTACCCAGGGTGTTAATAGGATTAAGTGGGAACTGTTTGTGCAAAGAAGAAAATTTGTTATTACCTATTTACCCCAGAACTGGACGGCACTACTGATGGAGTCATTGTAATGCAAGTAGAGTATAGAGTCCCAATCTGTTCCTTTTTTCGGGGCTCAGCTGCCCCACAGACTTTGTTCTCACTCTAGATTTCATAACTGTACTCGCTCTAAAATGGCTCGAGTATGAAGCCTAAGAACTGTTTATATGCATCATTATTAATTTCATCAAGCCTAATGAACTAAATGTACTTTTAACAGAAAAGAACGTGCAATAACTCCATAACATCAAACAGTAATTGCAGGAATTTGTTAACAGTTTTTTTTTTTATTCAGGGGAGTGGGAGTGTGCTCATTCACCATCAGCCTACAAGGTTATGTGGACTTAAGTGGATGTGCGAGGACGATCTGCCTTGTTCGTGTTTAGCAGCTTGTTTTCTTTGCAGAAAACCTGGCAAAGTTTGCACAGAATAATCAAAACCTGTTTGAGAGGAAATTGATTTATGGCAGGCTGTGGGGGCGTCAGCACTTAAAAGAGCCAAATCATCCATCATTACAGCCTTTCTGTAATAATAAAACAGATACTCAATATCTATGTTGATAAATTAGAATTATCATATTTTATTTAAGTTAATAAAATATGTAAAATAGCTCGTACTACTTTTTTAAATCCAGCAGTAGGTATTAACACCTTCCTTTTAAATCCACTCAAGTTAATGCTAAAAAACATGTTGCTTGTCAGTTATAGTACTGCAATAAACAGCTGATTACACAATTTTACTTGCTAAATACTAGAATGGATTTTTTTTTTTTTTTTACTTCTGTCAATATAAGAAACCTACAAACATATTTTTTTCGCATTTGTTTGAATTGCTCTGTGTGTAACCTGGGTAAAAGATTTGAACATTTCCTTCCAAAAGTTTCACACAATATTTTGGTGAATGTAAATGTTTGGCAGTTGTTCAGCCAAAGCCCAGTCCTCAGTGTGCCTAAAGAGCTGTGCCGTTGCCTTGAAGACTTATAAGCAGAAAGAGAAATCAATGCAATAAACTGAAAAAAAAATGGAAAGAAAACTAGTTGAAAATTCCTAGACAACAATATGAAATAGTAATACAGCACTCCAGGGGGAGATATTAGTCAAATTATAGATTTTAAAAGTGATGTTTAGCATATTTTACTTTTTAGGTTCAGATTTCAGCTTCAGCTCTCTTCCATATATTATATATAATAGTATGGAAACTGCTAAGTTTCTAAACTGGAAAGTTTCCCAACTTTTAATTTGGTTTCAATCAATTCAGTAACAGCTAAAAAAATGCTAATTTTCATTTTGTCCTATAACATAAACAAATCAAAACATGATTTACATTGTCTAAAGAATTTGTATATTATAAGAATAAAAAAATGCTTAAATTTGTGGGTGGTTTTTGGTTACATTTTTGACATTAAATTATTAAAGAAAGTCCTACTGGTTTCCTGATGTCCATGTCCTTCAGAATGTCTCGAAGCTCATGGGACTTTTCTTCCAAGTAGGCACTCTGAGCCCAAGATCGAGAAGCTGGGCGCTCAGTCTCACTAGAAAGGATTCCTATGAGATAAACAAAAAAACTTAAAAATCCCACTAAAAGAAAACCATAAGTCCAACAGATGGAGATGCTTGTGTAAGAGCTTACATTGTTAATGTAGACCTACTATGGAGAAATCACTTATTGCATTTTCATTTCAGTCTACTGCTTCTAGAAATAGTCGAGGAAAAGTTCAGATTTTCCAACTTGAGCAGGACCCCTTAATGCCTATTCATGTGTGCCCACCGTAGACTTTGCATTTAAACTGACTGTCCCTGAAGCTCAAAACACATTGGGTGTGAGCACGCAGTATTACGGTAATAACAAATCTGCAGATGATGGAAGCTCTACTGCTCTACAATAGCTGTACCAATCTGTCAATCTATCTCCCACTCCATTCTCCCCTCACTCATGAACAGGACCCAAAGATCTTAAAGTGCATGCTGTAGTGGTTGGCAGGAGGGAGCAGGTGGAACCACAGCTAGAGCCCCTCCATGCCTGGGCTGTGTCAAGAAATCTTGTCCATAAAGATTATGAAGAGGGCCTGTGATAAACCTATCATAACTTGTTTAATGTGAAGCATCATAGGTATTATATGTACCTCAATTTAACCATTAAACATTTCTTTAACAAGGGAAAAGCGGTGTTATAATGTTTACCCATTTCCATTTGAATGCTATTTGGATGTCCAACATATGTGATGGGTTTCTTTTGGCCTCTTTCAGTCTGAGTCAGCGTGTCTCTAATACCACTCAGTTCATCACTGTAATGCTGTGGGAGACTCCAAAACTCACTGCCCTGGTGGTAACCCTACAGAAGAGATGAAAAACAAAAGAAGAGGTTGGAGGAAGGAAAATCCAGGGGACTAGAAAAAAAAACAAATGTGTCATACATATCCAGAGTGGGTGAATTGCATGACTCGGTTTAGATGTTCCTTTTGCTCCTGAGTTTCTCTGAAGTGTTTGGCTTGATTCATCAGCAGGGTTTCCACTGGCCTGTTGAGGGAGTCTTAATGTGGAGCAAATACATTACACAGATTTAATTCTCTTCTTCTTTTGTGTGAAGAATCTTGTTAATCTCTTAAAAAGTAGAAGTATTGTGATGAAAAATTCTCAAGGCTTACGAGATAACTCTTCCTGCTTCCGTCTGGTATAGGTCATGTGTTCATCCCATCGCTGCAGGGCATTACTCTGGGTGCTTCTCTGGTCTAAAACCCTCCCTCTTCCTATTGTGTCTCTGGAAGGCCTCGGTGCCTCAGATGTAGGATCCCACAAAGTCTTTGGGATTTTCTTTAACAACTTGTTTTGAAGGCAAGAAAGAAATAAACATAGTGAATCATTGAAGTGTTTCAGGTCAACAACAGCCACATTTTACAGCATCATATATTACATCTGTCTCCCCTTTTCTTTCCAAATAACTTCGAAAATCATCCAAGCTGCCAAGGATGCTGTGTGGAAGAATCATCCCATGCTCATCAAATCGCAGGTAAGCTGCAGAGCAACAGGGACAGAGAACAAAGGAAAACTTTTTACCTACAGATGGATTTAAACATCACTGGCACTTGTCTGGATTCATGTAAAAATAACCTGTAAAGTCCGTCTGCTTAGAGTCTTTCACCAGGGGAGCCACTTCTGAATCATTTGCATTTCTACAAATCCGTGAGTTTTGATTAGCTCTGAGCTCCAGGGTTTGCAGACCTTTAGGAGGCTTTGGTTTGTTTCTCTGCAATTAGACAACAATTTAGTTCATGCAGATATAAAGCAGTTTAATAGCATGCCAATATGCTGCTGAAATTCACCTTTTCATTGTATTGAGAGCCAGCAGCCTGGACATCGCCAGGTGTATGCACTGTTTCTTGCTCAGATTTGGGCATTTCTTTCAGCACTTTTGTCGTCCTCGGTTCTAGAATAAATCAATATGAAGCACAAATTGACTTCCAAAATAAAAATATCTTCTGCTTCTTTCCTGGGATTCTTATTCATATATTTCTCATACAGCACCTTGAAAAATATCAATACCCCTTGAACATTTTTTTTAAAGCTTTAACTAAACTTTAACTAAAAACTGCAATATGGGTTTTTTATGTGGTAGACAATAAAGCGTAGCTATGTTGAAATGTATCTTAGTTTACTCTGACTAGCTGTTCCATAATGGCTTTATTCTACCTAGGGAATCAAAAGTATATTTGTTATAAAACCATACTCAAAGATCACGCCTCATTGCTTGCTTTCATATCCAAAAATAGAAAGAGAAACTGCAAACCTACCAACATATGCCCACTTGCCTAAAAGTCAAGCAAGAGGAAGCAGTATGAGCAATATAAGCTGTGGGAGTAGAACTATGCACAGGATAGAGGAGAGCACTAAGGAATTAAGCATATGTTCACACCGCTTTGAGCAGCAGAAGCAATTGGTTCACATGCAAAGTCTATGGTTGATGTGCGTTAACGTGCATCAAAAGCTCCTACAGGGCAGCAGGAGCAGTGCATCTTCACGCATATGAGCAGCTGTAGCAACGCCTCATGGGCTTATGAGCATCTGAGGCGCGTAACGAGCTTCACAAGCAGAAGCTGCTGGAGTCGGAGAAGTTGAACTTTTGGTGCTCGAAGCACCACATCAACTAAACGGAGAAACTGATCTGGGAGCTGGCAGGAAGAAAGACACAGGACTGCTGATGAGAAGAAATATGATCATTCCTCAGAAACAGTTTATTAAGCTCTAAATTAACATAAAATCTCAAACCTGCCTGCAAAATATCTTCGTTTTTATTGAACTTTGTACCATATGCCCAAAAAACACTAACATGTGCCTCCAGCCGCCATGGAGAATAGAGACTGGTTCTGAGGCAACTGTTGCTGGGGACAGTGTACTGTCGGTATGTGGGGTTCTGTGCAGCTGCAACAGCGAAATAACATTTTAAGGCAGGATCATAATCTTGATGAGCTGACGGCACATACAATGTTTTGAGGTGGACTTTCTCGTGCAATATATTAAAACAACTTTTTCCAGCTTATCACAGCAAATATAGCAAACATCGGACGCATCTGTAAACACTCTAGAGGCGTCTCTGACTTTTATGTGTACAAGCATCAAGAATGAAGCAGCAGATGCTTTGTTGCGACTCAAAGCACATGCGGTGTGAACATAGCATTAGTTGTTGCCAGAGGTATCACCATTTTTCACTTATATTTGTATTATATGATAACTCAATTTAATCTCTGCTGCTTTTAAATACACATTTCAGTCCTAGTTTGTTATTTATTTATCAAAACCTTGTTTAAACATGATGAACTGAGGAAAACAATTTAAGGGGTATAAATGCTTATAAAGAGCAGTGTCTACAAGGTAACCATTTTCACTGCAAAGCATCAGTGTTTTAACGGCAATCAGAACTATTACCAGAGCTGTTCTGCATGTTTTGCATTTACCTTGTGCAGGCTAGCTTTCTATCAGAAAATGACCAATTTACTGAGGACCAGGGAAAGATGCATTGTTTTGCGTTGACAGACTTGTTTCTAGCACATCGTATTTGTTTCATTTTGTTTCCTGATATCACACCGTTAGGCTAACTTAATTGACGCAATAAAGAGCATGTCTGAAACTACTGCAGTGAAAAGGATTCAGACTCACGCTTCGATTTCCCAGTAGCTCCACGGACCTTTCCTCCGTGGAGCCAACATGAAGACAGCGACACCGGAGCTTAAACAGACCAGAACCGATACAGAAAAACGTTTAGCTGGGACACAATTGAAGCACGGCGGCGGTTAGCTTTGTTTAGCGACAGTGTTACCATGACAACGAAACGTTTGGAGAGTATGTATGTATGTATGTATGTATGTATGTATGTATGTATGTATGTATGTATGTATGTATGTATGTATGTATGTATGTATGTATGTTTGTATGTACGTATGTACGTATGTTTGTATGTATGTATGTATGTATGTATGTATGTATGTATGTTTGTATGTATGTATGTATGTATTTACCTATTTTATTTATTTATTTTTGAATAAATATCTTTCAATGTATTATTTCACTTTAAAAAAATAATTACGTGCAGTAAGCCTATTTCAGATTGTCATGATTTTAGCAATAATTTACAACAAATATATTTTGTTTATTATTTATATATTTTTATTTATTTTTTTCATTCATCAAAACATTTGTTGTTTAAGAAGCTGATCATAGTTCAGATTAGTGTCTTAATTACTTATTTAATTTGCGATAGTATTAGCAGCGCAAGTCTCTTCTCTGAGTCTTTTCAGGCAAGAGCTTGTTTATTTTCAGCCATGGGCGGTTCTAGACATGGGCCAGTGCCCCTGTTTATCATGTCTTGGCCCCTGTATGGCCCTTGTACTAAAGACATAATACTCAAAGACATTCTAATGATGATATGCGCTGGAACAGACATGGTTACTGATAGGTCCTTTAATTGGATCTAGTATTTCATTTTTTTTTCTTTACAAATTCTGTTTTACTAATTATTTAAAACCAGTAAGGTAATAGCTTCAGTGGTATTGAGATAGGATTCAGCAGCTAAATGTTTTTTTCAAAACAAATTGCTCTAATTTTTACAGGTGAATTTATCAGTTTTTCTTGAGTTCTAATTCAGATTTAATAGAAAATTGTAACTTTAACTTAAATTCAGTCAAAAATATGTAAATTCTTAAATTATGAACATATACTGACCTCATAAGAAATAGAATTTTAATTTAACCTAATTGTACAGAAATTTCACTTCCTGCAGCTCTCTTAATATATTTGAATCCCTTACCCTGTTTTTAATTTAATGCTTTTCTGTAACCCATGAAAACACTCTGGCCCCCTCCTGGCCCCATGGTACATTTGCTCTATACCACCACTGTTCTCAGCTGCGTGCTTAACAGCCTAGACAACAAAACTTAAAAAAAAAAAACATTAATCTGTTAAAAAGTACATGGAATAACGTGGAAAGTTTTTACAACAGAAAATATGTTGAAAATAATCTCAAATAAAAGTAAAAAATGATAACACTGCATTTAGCTACAGTAAAGTCAAATATAGTCGTAGAACGTAGGAATAAACATCATTCATAACATAACTTATCCTCAGCTTTACACCTACAGCAAATAGTTTTTTTTTAAAATTCTTGAATAATGTATATTTCTACATAGCCTAGTTCCTTTTAAACCACCTTTGTTCATCTGGTTTGCAATTTGTCTCCCAATAAAATATAATTAATCGTGGTGGGCCCACATGACCAAAAATGCCCAGACCAACTCTGCCATATATAAAATAAAAATAAATAAATAAATAAAAAAGCTCAATAAATAAATAAATAAGCATACAATTAATTGCCCCCAAAAATACAATAAACTAATAATTTTAGGTAGAATTTAAATTATCCAGTGAGACATAAATGTATGTATCTCTGTAAAAATTATCTTATTTATTTATTGTCCGTTGTAATCTTCAACTTTATTTATTTACTATTTTATTTATTGAAGTACATTTTTGTCTGTTTTATTCTTCCTTTGTATTTTTTTTTACCTTATATATTTCTTCAATGATATTTACTTATGCCTGTCGTTTTTTACATTTCTGTATGCATTTCTCATTATGCAAATGAGGAAGAGCTGTGTCTCACTGTACAATTTAATTTCTACCTACATTTATTTGTTTATGGTATTTTGGGTGGCAATTAAATGTATGCTTATTTATTTATTGAGCATTTATTTATTTCTGATTTTATTTTTAAATATGGCAGAGTTGGTCCTCCATAGCCCCGTTCTGCAGCTGCACCATAATAATTTTCCTTTTTTTGTTGTCGGTCTGCGTGACGCGGAGGAATCACGAGGTTGAGGAGAGAGTATAAATGAAGCTGACATCAGCTTCCTCACTATCGAACATCCCAACTTGGGTAGATCACTAAATCTGTCCGCTTTTCAACTGCGCAAAAAGAAGCGCCCCCAGCGATGGATCTAGGAGGCATCTCCAGCGGCTCCCCGATCAGCTCCATCCCGCATCAGCTCAAATGTTCCGGGAAAGAAGTTCACCTACAGGGTAATCCTGCGGGGCAGACCTGCTCTGGTCCCTCCAAAGTCTGGCTGGCTTACAAGCAGGCATCGCAGCAGCTAAACTCGTCTAGAATCAAAGCGGGTTTGGGTTTACTGAAAGTAGCCACGCTGCATTGGAAGCACGAAAAGAAGACAGTCGGTGCACAGAGCAGACATCCGTTCAACAGATCCCCGCTGGATCAGCTGGCAGCTTTAGTTTTCCATGACCCTACCGGCTCCAGCGGCCTGGAGCACAGACAGGAGCCGCTCTGTCTGACTAAGCCGCAGAACTGTAAACGCATCGTGGTCCTCGGTGCGCCACGAGTTGGGAAGACTTCCATCCTCAGGAGATACCTCCGGGACGGGTTTGTGGAAGAGTACCATCCGACCTCTGAGGATTTCCTCAGAAAGTTATTCTGCATCCGTGGGGAGACCTACCAAATAGACATCCTGGATGCGTCCAGGGAGAGGGATTTCCCAGCCAAACGGCGACTCTCCATTCTCACTGGTGCGTATTTACTGAAGATAGTTTAACATTGTGAAATGCGCACAGATACATCACTGTCAATGTGATAGTTTCATGTAAAATTAGTTATTGAGTAGGTATCAGTGATGCAATATTTAATTGGTGCGTAAAATTCTCTGAATATAGATTTAATCTGTTTGTTTTTGTTTCTACAGGAGATATATTTCTACTTGTCTTCAGTCTTGATGACAAAAGCTCCTTCGAGGAGGTGTGCTCCCTGCGAGAAGAGATCCTGACAGCTAAATCAAAGCTCACTAAGTCCTCGGTCCCTGCGCATTGCGCACAGCAGCGGGTCCCGCTTGTGGTTTGTGCCAATAAGGTGGATCTTGAGACTCAGAGAGGGGTTTCACACGCAGATGTGCTCAAAGCACTCGGGCGCGACTGCATCTATTTTGAAACATCTGCAAAGGACAGCACTAATCTCGAGCAAGTTTTCGAGACTCTGGCGAAGCGAGGCGGTCTCCCGATGGAGACAGGTCCGTTTCAGCACCGCAAAGTGTCCCTCCGCTCCTACCAGGCCATCAGGACTGACTGTGCAGCCTGGAAGGGAGGAAGGGTGGCGGGGCGAGAGGATCCCTGCGGTACCCTGTACCCACTGGCCCGTCGGCCGAGTTTTTCCACTGATCTGCGACAGATTATTGGGTCACATAAGGGAACAAAACCGGGCCAAGTGCTGGAGAAATGTCACATTCAGTGAGGAGGGGTACGGACTAATATTGAGGACAACAACGCATGTGCACTTTTATTCCAGAATAAACGCCTTTATTTCCCCCCAAATAAAATATTTTGATAAATAAAATGTTTCGTTTCGTCTCGACAAATGTCTCTATATCAAATCGTTGCAGCATTTATCAAGCATGGAACTGGTGGCATCATGCTGAGGATATTAGAGATATAACAATTCTCTATCTATCTATCTATCTATCTATCTATCTATCTATCTATCTATCTATCTATCTATCTATCTATCTATCTATCCATCCATCCATCCATCCATCCATCTATCTATCTATATCATCTCTCTATCTATCTATCTATCTATCTATCTATCTATCTATCTATCTATCTATCTATCTATCTATCTATCTATCTATCTATCTATCTATCTATCTATCTATCTATCTATCTATGAGTGGGATGACTCAGAAACTGAGTCCCTAATCACTATTACATAACTTTGTTTATCCATCCAATTTTTTCCCTCTTCCTGTATTTGTGTCTTTGCTTTGAGATGTAATAAATGAATCATTGTTGTCAGACATCCCACCCACCATTAACACTCAGATAAAAGCAGTTTACCACTTCATACCTTCTTCAATCTACACCTTATTCTCACATCCGACATTTTCAGATCCAAAGAAAAAAAATACATTTATTATGATTTTTTTTTCACTTGATCTTTTAAACCATTTTGTCTATAAAACCTGCATAAGGGTTGCTAGGGACATATTATACCAGTTACTGAAACGAAAACAAAGAGCAAATACTAGATCATTACATGGAAATGTTTCCTACCAGGTTCACTCTATATAGATTTATGTATTATAGAGTGAATAAAGTTCTTTGCTCTGCCGGAAGGACAGTGGATGTGTTTCCATGGATACTGCTCTTGGCAATAGATGATAAATAACTCATTCTTTATTCAAGGTACTTCTTACATTATTTTAAGAATTTCCTCTTCCTATTTTCTCAAAGAATATTTGTTTAAAAAAACCCTTCTGCTTTGTCATTGTGATAAGATGCTATAATGGTACTGAAATATTGTAATTCAATGGTTATCACAGTATCGCTGCCAGGGTGCCTTTCACAAATGAAAATTGGGTACATTTTAGAGGTGTGCTGTGAGTAATCACCATCGAAAAGCTCAGAGCAATGTTAGAAATGATGGGTTATTATAAGGGATTGGGAATCTGAATATATCTTTAGGAGGGCTCGGGCCATGAATGCACCATCCGCAGCTCCTCATGGTCTCCAAAACTTTATGACTCAAGCACAGCTTAGTAGGCGCCAGGATTAGAGTTTTCTATTTGGCTTTTTCTATACCGTCTCTAAAGATATACTATGAAAAACGGATGATAAAAGAGTGATTTCTTTTGAAAGCTCTAAGCACTTAAACACTAAAACTGCAGAAATGAGAGTGAACTAAAAGCAGAATGAAATAAAATTCCTTTAATTTTGGTGCTGAATAAGTAAATTATTTATATAGATA